CCCGCGACAAGCTCGCTAAATAACAGACGCTCTACTAAAGCACGACGGCTCCCAGACTTGACCTCAGCTTAGTCAAGGTCACGGTGGCAGGCAAGACTATCTTATGTCTCTAGTCCCTTGTGCTTATGTCCCTTGTGCTTATGTCCCCTTGTGCTTATGTCCCCCTTGTGCTTATGTCCCCCAGACTCTTAGTATAGTGGTTATAGTGGATCGCACCTCCTTGACCGCCCAAATTTAACCCCTGTAACAAAGAAGATGGTGAAAAGAAAAAGCGATGAGGAGTACCTTACATTTCAGGATGAATGGGTCGTATGGATCTACGTATGCATGCGAGCAGTCATCAAGTCCACCTTACGATCACGTCTAACGGATGGTAGCCTCTACGCTTGCATAACGCTTAACCTCATTAACTACCAAACAGCCTACAAAGCTATCAGCGAATGCATGCATTACCAGAAGTGTCATTAATAATGAGTTTTATAAGAACATTATTTAAGAGAATAATTAAGAGGCTTATTATACTCGCATTTAATTGAATTTAATCTTAAAATATATTAAATGGCTCTTTCTGGAATATATTTGCAAATATTTGCTTTCTTGGCTCTCTGAGTCAAAAAGGTTGCCGACCCCTGGTCTAGGGTGTAAGACAGCGATTGCGATTACCAATTTCTTCTTGTCTCACAAATCGTTTTATCCTTCCCCCCGGCTGCAGGTGACAAGGCGCTGGCCGACACGTATGGGCTTGCGGACATTCCGGGCGCAGAAAAACTCTCGAAAGTGCAAGTCTACTTCAAGGACCTGGGCCCGCAAGTGGGTTGGTCGACTGTCTTCTACACCGAGTATGCGGTGCCGCCGATTGCCTATGGCCTGATGTGGCTTCTGCGTCAGGAGTGCATGGTGCCATACCTGCGCACTATCTCGCCCGCGATTTCCACTGTCTACTTTCCACCCATTACAACCCACCTGGGTCTACGTGCGTTGGCTGCCGCCTGCTTTGTTGGTCACTTTGTGAAACGTGAACTGGAGACCGCCTTTGTGCATCGCTTCTCGCATGGCACCATGCCGCTGATGAATATCTTCAAAAACAGCGCCTACTACTGGCTGTTTGCGATAGCTATCGCCTATTTTACCAATCACCATCTCTACACATTCCCAAGTAAGTTTTGTGGACGCCCTTATCGATGGCGACTTTTTCTTTTTTTTCAAAACGTGTCAGTATCTTTTTGAGCAGCTATTGTATTTCATATAGTAGTTGTAGTTGCACTTTTCGTCACCCTAACCTATTGTCCAATTTTTCAAGTTGCTTTGTTCACGATCGTGTGATCTGAGTCAGGCGTGGGGACGACTCCAGCCACCTGCGCCCGATCCCTCCGGTCTTCTTGACTTTGTCCTGACACCGGGCTCGGTTGGGTGAGGTGGATGCGGCGCAAGTCTCCCATCACTGCAGCCAATGTACGCGCAAGTCGACGTGCCTGCATCACCACACTGTGGAGCCCACAGTAGATATAATCGGAGTTGACACTCGAGGTTTGCTACGAAATCAGCAGCGTCAGGTGTTGCTGGTTAGGTAAGCCTTGGAGACTGCGAATGCATCCAAATTGACATAACCATCGCTGCGAGGATCCATTTAAACCATGAATCCGTCTGGTGAATGTTGGGCTCTGCGTAGAATTTGGGCTAAACCCGGAGGTAGTTGAACACTACATCTTAAGGATCACCTTTCGAGTGAATTACACCGACCAGAGATGCACTCCGAGATGCATCCTTGAAGTTCACCGTAGTTACTAGCGACCGACGGTAATTTGTTTTAGTTCAGCGAAAATTCCCATTTCTACGATTGAAAAGTCGTGTTG